ATTCTAGCATTAGGATCAATGTAGGAGGCCATTGCAACTATGTTAGTGATTCCAACTGGCAAGAAGAACATGACCACAAGGATCAGGTGAGAAGTACAAGTTTTTAACGCTCTGACTCGTTCCTCTCTTGAAGTAGTCCTCCTCAGTGCTATGGAAATACAGATATATGTGACTACTATGAATGCTAGGGGAATGATGAGAATTATAATGACTAGGGAAAATGCTAACTTGAAATTTAAAGATGTATCATTACAAGCTAGACGATAAACTGGTCCATGATCACAATAAAAGCTCTTTATTACTAAAGATCTACAGAATGAAAGCTAGCTAAGAAAGCAGAATGTTGACCCCAGCACATCATTCAGTCCAACACTGTCAACAGGTAACAAAGACAGTGCTGAGCAGCCCGGGTTGCAGCATTCTACCCTTTATTTCTCAATTTCTCCTCAAAGAGGAGAGGTTAGAAGCCATGGCACAGGGAAGAGAGGCCACAAGTGCTACTTATGCAAAATAATTTATCGCACAGACAGTTTTTTTCATCACATGCACAGTACAGCCCTGTGTATGCTGCTCTAACACTGTCCACAAACGTAACAGGGCTGGCTGCTTTAAACTTAATTTGTGATTCAAAATGAACCAAGAAGTAGAAATAGAAAAATAAATATTTTGGATTGGCATAATTACATAATTATACATCAATATATGGGCATCTTTATATTAATATAACTAGATAAATTATCTATAGATAGTGTATATATGTGCATATACAAGAACAAATACATTTGATGAAATATGATAAGCACTCGCTTCCTCTTACTTCTTTTCAAATAGGAAATGGTTCATATTTTCTTAGTGGAATTTATTGCCTGAGGTCTGAATGATAAGTTTTGTTCATTGTGTTTATATAATGGCTTTCTTTCAGATTTTACATATGTCATATAGAAGAACCCATAGTCACATATTCATATGTTTAGGGACATTATTGCTAAAGAAATTATTTTTTTACTTCCTGATCAAATAAAGGTGAATACACAGTTCCAACCTTCCTCCTGGTTTTTATATTTAAACATATAACTTAAAAAAATCAGGTACATAAATTACAACTTTCATTCATTCATTGCTTTTTTAAAACTTTTTTTCAAGGGTTGTGGGTGTTAAAATTATTTTCCATACAATATACAGTATTCAAAACATTTTATGTAAACATGATATACAGTGAAGAACATAACACAATACACTATTTCTAAATGTAATATTATAGCACAAATAGCTAGAACTTGTTTTTTTTTTTGTTTTGTTTTTTTTTAAGTATACTGTAATAGTCCCAAATGGGTCAATATAATAGAAACATTTGGTTCACCATTTTGTGACTGGACTGCTAATATTATTTATTTTCCAAAGCTTCTTGACTGCATTCATTACTTCTTCTGTCTTTAAAGCATAAACAATAGGATTGATCAAAGCTGGTATGGTGTGTGTCAAAGTTGAGTTTATAATTCTGGCATTAGGATGAATGTAGGAGGTCCATACAGCAATGTTTGTAACTACAAATGGTAGGAACAAAATAGCAACAAGGATCAGATGAGAAGTACAAGTTTTCAGTGCTTTAAGTCGTTCCTCTCCTGATGCAATTTTGCTCAGCGCTATGGAAATGCAAACATAAGTGCAGGCTATGAATATTAGCGGAATAAAGACTCCTATACTTACAACAACATTTGCCATAATGATATTTAAAGATGGATCATTACATGCCAGACGATATATTGGTCCATGATCACAGAAAAAGCTTTTCACCACAACAGAGTCACAGAAGGAAAGACGATTAATAAGCCCAACAACTAATGTTGTTAGACTCAACGTAACAAGCCATATAAACAGCAACATTGATGTAATAGATGTTTTAGTCACAATGCTATGATACCTTAAAGGGAAACAAATTGCTATAAGTCTGTCATATGCCATCGTGACAAGCGTCCATGACTGCACACCTCCAAAAAAGAAAACAAAGAACATATAACTTAAACAGGCCTCATAAACAATGTATCTCCTGTCGAACAGAAATGTGTCTAATAGTTTTGGGATGAGAGCTGTGCTCCCACACAAATCTGCCAAAGCCATGTTGAACACAATCATGTATTTAGGAGTATGAAGAGTCTTCACTAGCCAAATAACTGAGAGAAGAAAGCCATTCCCCAAAACAGTCATGATATAGACAAAACACAGGAAAACATAGAAATATTTAACATGAGGGATGTTGGAAAATCCACTGAGATAAAACTTTTCAGGCCGAACAAATGTGGAATTAGACTTAGTGGTGGCTTTTTCTTCTGAGTCCATTACAAATAGGTTTCCTTAGTCATAAAAATGACAGATAAAAGCATATAACACAAAGTGAAGCATCTGATCCAAAGTTGCTGTAATGAAATTTTGCCCAAACTACATAAGCAGTGCACTAAAGTGAGGCGTCTCATGACCAACCTGGTATTTGTATTTTACCTCTAAGACTGTGATGCAGCAGAAGCAAGTAACTTTGTCACATGGCCATTAATTGGGTAGATTAATGACCATCTTATTTTCTACTCACTGGGTGGCAAAAAAAAGTAAAGTAGAAGTACAGTAAAAGTGAGTCAGTAAAAGAAGTAAAGTAAAATTCCAGCAGCTCAGGTTTCAGTGTAATATAATAAAATTATATAAATTTAACATCACATAAAAATACTTAGCTTTTCAGGAGGTAACATTGGGAAGATTATTGTAGATCAGCATGATAAATTAAAATACAGATGCTTTAGCTTTAAATCAACGTTAAATCGTAAATTTAACAACTGTACTAACAGATTTTTCATGTTATTTTACATTAAATATGTTAATGCGCTCTCTTTAATTTTTGCATTTATACTGATATTTCATGCCTCCAAGGAATAGCGCCAAGAAACTAGAATCTAAGTCATGACAAAGGAAGGCAAGGTAAGGCATACTTGAAGATGTTCAAGTTAAACAGGTTAAAACCTACATCTTTCATTTAGTAGTCTGTTTTCTTTACATAATAAGTTCAATTACCATTGTTCTTTGAAAAATATAGTTAATTAATATGCATATTTTATACCTGGCTCTATAGTTGCAATGAAAGCTTTGACACAGTTCTCATTGAAAAAAAAAATTAAATCAATCGTAAAAAACCATCCTTAGCAACATAAGGTATGTGCCCCAGTAAAAGTAGATTAGTGCCAACAAATTCATTTAAATTATTTGTTAGGATCCCTGGGTTTTTAGACCCAGGATTTTGTATTTACAGTTCTTTTGGGCTTTGTGATTCCTTGTTTATTGAGAATCTCTTATGCTGTTTGACTCTTCTCGTGTATAAATAATAGTATATTATTTATACACGAGAAGAGTCAAGAAGTTTCCTTTATAATTTATTTTATCCTTTGCAGTCTCTGTTCATATTCTGCTTCTTCTTTCCTGTTTTATTGTGAAAGTCTTTTGTCTTGTGTGTCTTGTGTAGAGTTTACTTCCCTTGTCTTGTTATTCCTCAATATTCCCGATTTGCTTCAGGTGTGTTTCCTATGTGTCTCCAGTTCTCCTCCTGTATATACTGTCTCAGTCTTCCTTTGTCCTGATTTAGAGTGTACTGCTCAGTTCCCCAGCGTTATTCTGTTGCCTGGTCCAATTGTGTCTCAGCTCTCTAGTGCAGGGGTAGGCAACTAGGGGTAAGCAACTAGGCGTAGGCCTTGAGTGCCGGTGTCCTGCAGGTTTTAGATCTCACCCTGGGTTAGCACGCCTGAATCAAATGATTAGTTCATTACCAGACCTCTGGAGAACTTCAAGACATGTTGAGGAGGTAATGTAGCCATTTAAATCAGCTGTGCTAGATCAAGGACACATCCAAAACATGCAGGACAAGGTACTCAAGGCCTGGAGTTGCCTACCCCTGCTCTAGTGAATTTTATAGTTTGCATTTGTTTTTTCGGTTTAGTTTCATGTTTTGCATCATGTGGTTTTCATATCAGTTCAATAAATGGCTTGGCTTTAGTTAACCTCCACCTGCATCTGCATTTTGGATCCTCACACACTGCATCCTGAAGTTATTTACATCATTTATCTATTATATAAAATTTAATGTACCATGTAA